AAAAAAAAAAAAAAAAAAAAAAAAAAAAAAAAAAAAAAAAAAAAAAAAAAAAAAAAAAAAAAAAAAAAAAAAACAGAAGAAAATTGAAAACAATTGGAAATATAGAAAACATTGAAATATCAAACAAGAAATTGAAAACACTTAGAAAAAGACTCTGTAACTATGCCTACTAATTCCAATTTTTAAGCATCAAAAAGTTAGTTTGAACTTTCTTTCCGCCACTGGGGTCCATTTAATTTTGATAATTCAAACATGTTTTTCTCGAAATAGCAAAAACTGCACTTATGCGCCTTGTCCTCCAAGCCCCTCAAATGTTCAAGTATTATTGTAATTAAAGTATAATCGGCAGGATTTCAAAGAACAATGAAAGTTATATTCAAGGGGGAAGACTCTTTGCAGACTCCTAGTTAACTTAAAGACTGATCGAAAATCTTCGAGGACAACCACAACAAAATCTCGTAAAAGAGAGTGATATTTCATACCTTTTCTGCCTCTATTTTCTGGATGAACAAAAATACGCGTAGTTCTCTGAAAGATCTGAGCGAAAAAAACTCCTACGCACTCACTGATTAGAAAAATCCGCGGGTAGCGCATTTTATAGACTTTTCTTGACGCAAATCGTCTATTATCGGTCGGACAAGCAAAAAAATATGCCTAGCATTTCTTGCTTTATCTGTCACCAAGAACCAAAAGTAAAGGTCACTAAGTGGATACGTCAAAGAAATTCGCGTGATCGTGCTAGGAAAACGCTGCGTAAAAGGTGAAGATGAGTGACACGAGACAGACATTACCTCGAATACAAAAACAGACAAAAGGCGTAATTGAATCTGAAACGGTGTCTAACTTCTCTGCGTAATTTGTGGATTTTTTCGATACATCTCTTTGAAGCTGAAAATCTCCTCGAGGTTAAAGGCGGCAGATATCCCTAGCGAATCCCGTTAAATTACAGCCGACCATAATTATTGGGGGCTGTCCATAGAATACCTAACGTTCTGGAGAGGAGGATAAACCTGAACCTGCTTTACAGGGGCGTTTCAGGGGGGGGGGGATCATCCTGGGATATATCACATTGCTAAAATCGTCATTAAGAGGAGAATTAAAGCTGGAAAATTAACGTGAGGTGGTGAGTTTTCACTCCGAAATTCATCTCAGAACCCCAATTTCGAAGGAAGAGGAGTTTCCCGGTACGTTACCTACGTTTTTTTAAGGGGTACGGACCTGTATTACGGGTTCGTCAAAAGAGGAAGGAGGGGGTGTTAAGATCTGATTTTTCGCGCGACACGTTTTAAATACGGTCCCCTATCTTCTCCATTCCCGTCCTAAACACCAATAAAATATGTCAATTGAAATGCCTTTACAGTGACTATAAAACCACTGGAAAAAAAATCTCGATGTATTTTAGACAAAAAGGGTAAAATTACCAAGAATTCAGGGTTCTATTTGATCCCAGTTTTTTCTTGGTAAAATTACCATTTATGGAATTGGTAATTTTACCGAGAAATCTCGGTAAAAAAACTCAACTTAATGGAAGTTTATTATTTCTATTGAAATGAGTATTGAAATGAAGGGGATTCTCCACGCTACGCTGAGGGCCCACCTGCATATTTAGTCAAACTCTCTATGCACAGATAGGGAGCAAATACGACTGAACGATTGTCTTGATTCCAACTATGGACTGAAAAAAAATTCTCGGCGTTTTTACCGAGGTCCGTCTGCACCTTTACCATCTCACTTTTTTTACCATAATTATTGGTAATTTTACTAAGACAGACCGGTAAGTTTACCTAAAAACCGGTATTTTTACTGTTTTTTCAGGTAAGAATACCACTTTTATTGGTAATCAATTCCCGATGGCTTTGCCATTTTATCTCCATAGTTCTACCACAGTCGATAAAACATATTGGCGTTATTACCACGGTCCAGTATAATTACCGAGTAAGTTCAATTATTTTGGGAGGATTTACCGAGGGAGTGGAGGGGGAGATTAGACGGTGTAATCTGCCCGATGATTTGTGGGAGGATCGATTCCGATGGCGATTTGGAGTCGCAGAGCGCTCTAGTGCGCTGAGTTAGTGGCTTGATATGTATGTAGTTCAATTATTTTACCGAGATTTCTCGGTAAAATTACCAATTCCATTAATGGTAATTTTACCAAGAAAAAACTGGGGTCGAATAGAACCCTGAATTCTTGGTAATTTTACCCTTTTCGTCTTAAATACATCGAGATTTTTTTTCCAGTGTGGAGTCCCCAAACAAAGTGGCAACCCCGCTAATGCATTGGATCCTTATCGGTGCGATAATAGTTTGACTATGGATGTAACGTGCGCACT